CCCCGCCCCCACCCTGCCCACGTGACCTAGCCTACACTGGGCAACGCCACCCAGCACGCCTGGCAAAGTTCCAACGAGCGGTGCCGCAAAATAATGTTGCAGAGATGTTAGAGCAAAGCGCTGGAAAGCCTAAACACCATAAATCATCAGCCGAGCTGAAGCAAGTTTTTGTAACTGCCTTACAACTGCGCTGAGATGCGCCTCGGTTGCTGCAGGTGCTAGAGTGCTAAGAAATTGAAGCAATCGCACCGTTGGAATAACGCTGAAGCCGGTGAACCTTTTTAATCTGTAGAAGGAGGAGCAGGGAAATGATCGTTTAGATGTGATGTAGCTGCATTAAGATTCATATTCATACCCAGTTTATCGAGAGTTTAAATTCAGCCGCAGGCGTGCGACAAACAAAAAGGTAGTAGCTGTCGAAGTCAAACGTGGGTTGAGTGAAATCCGCCTTCGCGTACTGAATTCGTTTATTCTACCCGTCTTCAACATGAGCCACTTCCTGCTGGTCAGGTAGTAGCTATCGAAATCAAATGTGGGTGCAGTGGGATCCGCCTCGATGTCTGTTTCCCTGGCTTACGCATCGCTCTGTGCCTGTCCCATGACATTCTTCAGTACACTGTTTGGCAAGTAGTGTAATCTTTCCTGTTTTGCATGATTTCATCACGATGCATACTGAACAGCGTTTCGTAGTCGACATTTACAGTTTTTTCTTCTTCGTTTCGCCAGGTGTGATAGAGCATCGCCAAGTTCCTATGAAAGTGCTGTGGCTCAGTTTGGATATTATGCATTCGATAGCGAATGACTTTTGATTTCGAGCGTTTTCTGATGTATCCTGTATGATCAATCAGTGCAGTGCAATTTTCTTGTGCAGGAACCTTTTCAATTTTGTTATTGCTGTCTACATCTTCATCAACCAGTGCAGCACTGTGTTGAGTTGCTCGTGGTATGGTTTTGTAGTAGTTGTAACACACGGCGGAATCGACGAATGGGATTTCTTTCAATTCGACCGGTCTTTTCGTAAAGTGGTCGATTACGTTGTGCACAAAGCAATCATCCGAAGTTGGATGTGCGGAGCTTTTGCTGTGACTTTACAACCAGTAGCCGCTCATCTAGTAATGATGTCTGAATGAATATTACCTTTTCGATGCATTGCGACACTGGAATTTGAAGAATGCTATAGCTGAAAGTTCTACAGTGTTATAGTGGGCTGTGCTGATATCTTGCATTGTTTGCCGTAAGCTGTTGTTCCCTTTCCGTAGTTCCTCTACAATATCTTCAACCGTACTGCTTACTTTTCTGCCCGTTTTGTTAATGTAGTCGATAACGTAGGAAATGCCTACGGTTCGAGCACATATTGCAGATCCATGCCACACTGCTGATAGAATTTTTGGCGAATACTGACTGATCAATATATCTGCCGGCGATCGGTGCAAAATCATTTTGCGCTTTCGCAGAACGTTCCTCACTGCCAGCAGGTATTCTTCCTCAGACATTTGAAATAGTCCGAAAAACTGGCCAAACTGAGTTTGCCCAGATCTTCGTTTTGGTTCAGAAGATTTTTTATTCACTGCTGTTGTCTGGGAAGGCCTTGACATTCCCGTGTATCACTATCTCCGGCAGAGGCTGCAAAATGCGAGCCTTGCGCATGGGATAAAACGAAATTCCGAATCCGCATTTGCTTGTTTTTGCTTCCGACATGTGCGACCGCGCCTATGGTATCGGAACTGAAGGTAGTGTGGATTGGCTTGTGGTTCGTACTGCTCCACATCGTTCATGATAAGGGTACTTCCAATAATGGTATCTATGTAGCTGCATACCTCTCGCTCGTTTGATCCTGTCAGCGCCTCGTAAACAAGTGCGTTCTGAATCCAGAGCAGCTGATGTATTTGAGTAAATCCATGTTGTTGAAAATCCACTCTATAATACGAATAAATTATACTTTCTCCTCCAAATGGCTCGTCGGTCGGGCTCCAAAGTTTCGTTTGTTCCATGAAGCAGTAGTCGAAATACCGAGCGCAAGTAACTGAATCGGACTGGATCAGTCGCGATTTTCCTGCATATGGCAAGGCCAGTGCGTCATCGAAGCTAATGGATTCGCTATCTACAACTTGTTTTAGAATTCGCAGAAATTCAGGTCACTGGATCTTAGCTGCTGAAATAGTGAGAAAGAACGCTGGTAATCCCAATTGTCTCGCCATGACACGAACTTTGTGTTTCTGGTTGTGCAAGCGTGTGCAGGAGTTTCGTACGCCAGCATGAACTTGGAAGGCGTCATTTTGCTGCATAAGTCCGTAAATGAAATCGTGATTGGTCAGATTCACTGCAGTGAGTCGATCCGATGGTGAATTCTTTTTTTCCGAAAACATACAGT